ATTGATGAAGGTGCCTCAAGGAGGGGTGAATGGCGCTGCAGATGCGTCCTCCTATCGCCCGTGACAATAATGAAGCTCTTTGTTCAGCTGTGTGAATGTGAAGTGTGAAATCTCCCTCTGATGATCTCACCATTTCCTATTTATTCTATACTTACCTGAATACACCAAGTATTGCAGCTTTTTAATGCATATGCAAACCACTAAAATGTCCTTTTGTGAGACACTCTGCTAAAAGGCCGCTTTTGATATGTGTTCTTCATCTCCTCTTCAAACTGAATGAGACTGCTCCCTTCTTTCTAAGACACAAGTAACTCACTATTTAGAGTCTTTGGCTTTGATTTGGTAGAACAGCCCAACAGGAAGAGACCATGTTCTCCTTTATTCTCCATATTTCTGAAGGCAAACTTGGACTGATTTGTTTTGATTTACTAACAGAATCATGTTCCTGCCACAGACACAGGCTTCCTTTATGCCCTTTCAGTCATCAGTCTATCTCTGTGCACGAAGTTTTCCCAAAGAAAACTGAAATGCCTCTGTTGGGAACTGTGCAGAGCCATGGACGTGTGCTTCAGCAAAGAGGTCATCAGACCGGGGGGCACGGGTGTTATTTTCTACAAGCAGTACATTCCTGGCATCCCTGCCAGTAAGCTCAAACCAAGAGACCTGGTGACACTGGAAAAAGATATTCAATAAAACTGAGCACCTGATCTTTGGCTGAGGAGGGTGGGGTGGAAGATCATGTGTTCGGCCACATGTTCTATGTCATTAGTGCTCTGCTAATTTCTTATGACTGAACTGTATTGGACGACCCCTTCACAGTTACGGGTAGGTGGTGTTGTGATGCTAATAGCCAAAAATTGTCCAATGAGCGGGGCTGGAACCGTTCAGCCAGGAGGAGTTAAGGCTCTGGGCCTCTACTGCATTCTCCTCATAATGGTGTCACATCTGTCCTCTGAAGAACACAGTTGATACCTGAAAGGCACCTTTAGCCTGAAAGGTAAGGTGGCACTGATGACCATTCTGTGGTTTTCCTCAGAGCAATGGCAGCCAAAAGCAATTGGTTACATCCTAGACTTTAGAGTAGAAAGGAACAAGTTCCTGTGCAGTAGCAGAGGCGAACACAAGCACACCTGGGACCATTGGAGGTTGCGAGTGAACCTGGAAAAGGGGCAGCCGTCCCCCCTCTGGGTTCATGTTCACCCTATAAAATCTAAGGAAAGGCCATTTCAATGTTTTGGGGTCCTCAAATAGAAACTAATTCCTACAGAGCAACTTGAAAGACACAATTCTACAGATGTTATGATGTGATTAGTGAATCCAGTAAGGGACAGACAGGCTGCGCCACCAAAAATTTTGCAAAGCAAAAAGTAAACTTTGGCATAAATCAAAAAGAAGGTGCCAGGTTAAGTGTCTGACCACAACACGATGCAAGATTTAAAATATAACCCACATATATATTTCCTCTCTCTCTTTTCTTCCTCTCTTTAGAGTTTGAGCACCTTGTCACGAAATCACTGCTGGGCTCATTGGTTTGACGAGGATCTATGTCTTTTCAAGGGACAATTAACTATTTTTTAAGGACTTTCACAAGTGACTTACATCATGCTTATTTCTGTCTTTCCCCACAGAAAAAAGGGATTTTATGAAATAGACTGACATAAACATCCTCGCATTTTTCTCTATCTCAAACTAAAACTCAAAAATAAAAGCAACGGCCACTGGTTTAAAAAGAATCAGAAAAGTTTTTGTGTTCTTCAAGTTGTCTAATTTATTACCAACTAAAAGTCTCTATCAAACTGGCACCAAGGTGGCTTTTCTTCTTGAGCTGATTAGGACCACATGAGCTCAGGAAAAGTGTCAGATCCTGCCTCTGGCACAGCTGGAAGGATCCAACTGATTTGCCAGTATGATTTTTCTTAAAAAAGAAAAAAAGGAAGCTTCATCTCAAAGTCATAAATTTATATTCTGAAGCCCCAAGAAAAAAAATTATTCCTTGTTCATTTTCAAAGAAGCAAAATCTATGATGGCATCTTTTAGGGGACCTCCTCAAAAACAAAAGCAACTGGGGCAATATTTGGGTCATCCTTTCATGACACAGTGGGAGCTAACTCAGGGGCTTATCTCTAGCCATGTAGACCCCCACTGATACGTGGGGTCTCACTCAGAAAACACTAATCCTCAGGAAACAGTCATGATCTAAGACCATGCTAGAACATTTTCCTTCTAAGAATTCTGTTTGTCCAGCTGGCCCGGGGCAAATTAAGGGATTAGGTCAAACTTTTCTTCAGCCAACCAGTGACAGGCTCGTGGGTCTGCCTTGCGGCATTCACCATGGTAAGTTAAGGCACTCAAGGAGCTCTGACCCCCCAAGGAACCCCTCGGGGTCCCCTTACTGGTCAGTCTTTCACGATCAATTCCTCATATCAAAATTTACCTGGCCTCTCTTCCATTAGGTCTCCTCCCTTTGCCAAACAGTCTCTGGCCTGGGGGATAAAGAAAGCTGTATTAGTTTATTCATGAGCCCTAATAAATTTGTATTTATCTTCTCAGGAAACACAGGTGCACTTAAACAAAGAGTCATACTGCCTTAACTCAAAAAGATGACACCATAATTTCAGTCTTTTAACAAATAAGCCTTTCGACCCCTTTCATAGCTTATATGTGGACCCCACCAGGGAGCAGATGTTTTGCTGGCTATGTGTTTCTGAATTGAGATTTTGTTTGTTCTTTGTGTGTTTGATTGTTTTTAGGTAAGAGAAAGAATCAGGACGAGAAAGTGATCTTTATGTTGATTCTGCACATAATAATTTGACTTTCATTCCTTTCTCACTTCGACCCTTTCTATGCACTGTATTCTGAGGAGTATTTTAAATTTGCCTGCTTTAGGTCAAAAATCGAGAGTCCCCAGCCATCTCAGGGGCCTACCATCTCAGTGTTTTCTTCATGTGCTTCCAGAAAAGGAGCTTCTTAGCCTCTTTGCCTTTGTTAGATAGCTAGAACTATTTGAAATAATGCCTTGTTCCAGATACACAGCTGATAGGATTATACACCAGTCCCTGACTAGGGGCTATCAGTTTTCTCCGTGAAAACAGTGGGCAGAATTTCATAACCCATCATTCCTCTATTAATAGTTAACCAGGATGAGAGTATTTGAATAAAAGCACATCTTGTTGCATGCAACAATGGTTTGACAGAATAGCCTCATGACAGAGTTCGAATTTTACTGCTTCCAGCTTCACCATGCAGTCTTGTAGCCTGGGAGGCCATGCATGCAGAATGGCAGAACTTACAATTGCCTACAAAGGGAGAGCACAATGCTACCTGTGGAGCCCTGCCACCAGGAGAGTGTGACAGCTGCTCTGGGCCTTAAAAATACCCTAACCTGTTGAATAGTTACGGAATAGAGCTTGCCCCGCTCGAAGCATGCATCGAAGCAAGGTTTTTCCAAACAACTGTTATGACATAATTATTCAATTTTACAACCATCCACTTAGTGTGTGGTGAGAAAAGAAAAGGAGGAATGGGGAAAAGGCATTGAAGTTTCTACATTTCTAGATATAATATGTGAATGTTTGATTCGTGATCACTTTCAGAGCCAGGGAGAGTGGCTCAGACACAACGGAAAGAACTTCACAACAGCCTAAAACACAGCTCTTTCCCAAAGTGACTTCCCTTTACTCATCTACCTCCCCCCCCCCCAAAAAAAATCAAAATGTACTTCATGAAACTATTGTATATGAAGCACTTATTAGCCGTAATTAAATGGACAATATGAATTTACTACGTCTTTAGGACTTTGGCTTGTTCTGGTTTAGAGCAAGATGATTAATGCAAATACATATTACTTGAGATAACCATTTAGCAGCTAATTTAGTCAAATTTATTACAGCAGTTAGAGCTTTTTCATTTTAGCAGACGGAGACAAGGACATGCCAAAAGTGGGCGACGTGGATGAGTGCACACTGCCCTCTAGTGGCCAGCCAGCTGGCGCGCTTCTAGGGGTGTGGAGTTGCCGCCACGCGTATCCAAGCAATAGCAGCAGGTTTTGCACGTTTCCGGCATCATTTTAAACCATTCTCATCCATAGCACTTTATTTCAGGGATGATTTACTGCACTTTCCCCCTTTACTAGCTCAGGAGTACCTAGATACAAATCAAATCAATTTCGACTTGGCAAGATTTTGGTTAAAGTATCATTTTTAACATCTGCATTTTAAAGCTCTCTTTCAGTGGGTATTTAATGGCACCATTTCACATTACTGATTGTTTTTACTTGTTCCTTCATTTTGGGCCATATTTCAGAGTCTGTGTGGAGCTGTCACTCTGTTTGGCTCCAGTCAAATCTATTCTGTGCCTCCCTCAGGCCAGCGTTTCTCTGTGACTTGGTTGGGAAATATGTTTTGTTCCAACATTCTATAAAGTCCCACCAGAATTTCCCCGGACTGGCCGATGTAAATTTAGTTCATACATGAACTATAAATCCTGCTCCACAAGATCAAAAGGAACAGATGCATACGGACGCGGGTTGATACTGCTCGTACCGGGGTGTATGATCAAAGACGGAGAGCGAACGCATCTTCGGAACCACTCAAATATCCAGAATCTCAAAGACAGCTACCTCGAAGCTATGAATAAATCCGTATACATTTGCCTTCGTTACCATCTAATGTCAAACCCATTGACAATACCACACCGCATTAGGTGTTCTGTGAGCCAAAAAGATTTGTAGTCCTTTTATTCTTCCTTTCACACCATGGCTTCCCAAAATGGAACAAAGTCTTGCTGCAAATGCTAGTAACCCTCACAAGGGAGATGCTGCTCCACTGAATTGTTGATTTTATTTGCCCTACTAATGGCCGTCTCCATCAAGCATAGAGAGGGGCCCTCCGGCTTGGTGCGGGACCTCCCCTTTCTGAGTTTGAGGGTTTGCAGACATAACGATCATCTGGCCCCAGTCTTAATACACAGTGCCTTCTGTTTTGTTTTGTTTTCACCCCCAGTGCTGAATAAGGGCCAGTGTGTGACGAAGTACTACCGCTGGATGCAGAAGAATGGAGGCTATATCTGGATACAGTCTAGCGCCACTATAGCTATTAATGCCAAGAATGCAAATGAGAAGAACATCATCTGGGTGAATTATCTTCTTAGGTATAGTTCCTAATTCCTTTTTGTTTCTGTTTCAGTTATAAAATAGGCAGCCCAATGGTTAATAACTGGCACGTGCTATTATCTTTTGACGGTAACTGGTGTAGAATTATGTGGAAGGACTGCTTTTCTTTCCACAAGTTTCCAAAAAAAAAGAAAAAAGAAAAATGTGAAAAAATAAAAGTCATGTTGGAAGGGACTTTTAGGGTAGATTCACAACATTTTCAATAATTCCTGGTCCGTCAAGATTTGGGCAGCTCGGTAAAAGTTGCTTTAGTTTCTCCATAAAGGCTTGGGTCATAAAAAGAACACAGACTTCTGCCTAAAGCTGAAGCCTTCAAAGCTCCCCCTTCTCCCCACCACATGTACACATCCTCACACACTCCAATCCTTGTGAAAATTAAGCAAAAGGGGATGAGAAAGAAGTGGTAGGGTATATTACAGGGTATTCCAGCCCTTTGCAACCCTCAGCATATTACATAGGATTTGATTGCCTATGCGTTGAAGTTTTGGTAAGCAAAGTGGCTTGCTTTGCTGGAATCAAGATAACATCAGTATAAAAATGAAGGCAATCTTCTTTTGCCTGCTTTGTGATCTCAGGCAAGTTTTACAGCTGTTTTAATGCGTCCTCAAATTTACACCCCCGAATGTGGCCAAGCTCAACAGCTTCCTAAATTCTAAAGTGCAGCATCATTTCTCAATCCCCTCTCACTTTCTGCCTTTGGAATCGAAGTAGCAAAATATTAACCAAGACCAAAGCCTGGGTGGTCTGTGTTTGGGCCAAGGATCCTGGGAGGCTCTCTGCCAATCCAGTCATGGAGCTTCCCCAAATGTTCGGCCTGGTCGCCTCCCACCACTGCCATTCCAGTCTTTGGCTTCTCTTGGCCTGCAGCCACCAAGCAGGGCCCACACGGGGTCTAAGTAGGAAAACTTCCAATAGGTTTTATGAATGGAAGTTGCCCTTTGGCTGATAATCTAGACAGGGAGTACTTGAATCCCATTTTTCTTTAAGACAGCCAAATGAAGCTGAGATGCTGACAACCATGGCTCATCAGCACACTGACCCTTCAGAGTGTGTTCCTGCACGTTGGTGATGACTTGAAGGCATGGATGTGCTTGCTACCAATAGCATATCAATCAGACACTAATGATTATTGCTCTAGAGAGGGCTTTAATGTGCACCACTTAAAAGAGTCTTCATTTATCTACTTTCTTTTTCCTTTTTTGATCTCTTCTACTCTACATTAATTCTCTCTAAAGGTATGTGTATTTAATGTGGATATGCCCAAGGCCTGATTTTCGTGCAATCCTGTGTTTGTGACATCAAGAGATCCTTTTACACAGAGGTTATAGAACAGTGGCAATATGTCATGCAGACGGTTACAAACACTTACATGCCGAAGAGAAACCAGAATAAGGTACTATGGTATTGATGATCTTTTGCTAGGCAGAAATGGATTTGTGTCATTATAACTAAGAATTAGACATAGGTAAGAGGGACACCAAAAATGAGAAGATGCCTGTCTCCCATGCTGACGTACCCTAGGGGGCTAAAACAATCTATGTGGTTGTTACCCCCATTCAGGGAGATTCCTTCCTCTCTGGATGTTCCTTACTGTACCAGCAGCCTCACAACTTCCTACTCTGCCTCCTAATGGAGGGCATGAGAATGGTTATGGAGAGGTCAGTCAACGCAACTTTGGATCAACACTATTAGATTAGCCTAGGACCACGCGGTACAAGTTCATGAATGTTTGGTGATTTGAGTCCATCTAGCTACATGTGGAGAGAAAGAAATCAGGTTGGTACCAAAGACAGATCTTCAGGCTCAAGAGCTTCAATCTCAGGCATGCTAGACCTGTTTCAGCTAACCTGAGGCCACACCCTGATTTCAATAATAAAAGACTGTTAAATTCTATGGCAAGTGACTTGGGAACCCCCATGCTGTCTGGATGAAAGGAGACCCATATACATGGGCTTTAGCAGAAGAAACTTCCCATAATTGTAACTCATTGGTATCACTTTTATAGGCCAGGGGTCTAGTGAGAAAAGGACGTGGCCTTGGCAAACAGCAACTACTGAAGTTTGTTTTTCTTTGCCTCATCCTTGTTCTGTGTTCTTCCCCGAGCAGTATTATCCTGTTCCCTCCTCCTGCTCAGAATCCCTCATTTCCGGGCGCCATCCAGGCTTGTCCTTCTCTGTTCTGAAATTCTTACTCCCCAGTCTTCTTCCCATTCCCTTGAAAAGCTTGATAGATTTACATGCTCAGAGTAGTCCAAAACTACACTAGTACCAAGTCTACCTTCCCACCATTAGCCTCATCTGATTATCTAGAGAAAGCCCTGCTACTGAGGCTAACTCCTACTAAGGAACAAATGCCTGATAATCCACCTTCCTGAATTAACCTTGCCAGGGACGTTTGCAGTTTTAGTTACTAAAACATTGACTCTTTAAATCTAGGAATTTCACTAGAAATTAGCAAATGAGTCAGTAATCATCTATTGTAAGACTCTGCTTAGCTAACCATTATGGAAGGTAGGAGAGGTGTCCCATTTTGAGGCAAGAGACTTTCCTTGTGGCTCCAAGTTACAGCAGCCTATACTGCTCAGACCTTGGGCCAGCCCTGGAGTGACATTTCTTAGAAGACAGCTAACTCAAACTGACCGAATACTCACTCTCTTCCAGAAGAGGCTTGTTCCTGAATTAAAAATAGAACAAAAATTAAACACATTTGTGGAAGTGGAGTTAGATAAATTCTGTTAGGGCCTCTTTCACCCTGGGACTCTACCCACTGCAATCAGATTTCCAGCTAACAAGCTACAGGTGTACACCACATGAGCAGATGAAAATGTGATTGTAATGGGTGTGTTGACAGTTCAGTAGCCATAATGCATGCATCCCAAGGTGCACCTGTGCATCTGTCAGATCTTAGGTGCCGAGGGCTCCGTCCCCACCTCCCACAGCTTCGGAGCCATCTGAACAACTGAGAAGCTCCGTCAGGGAGCCAAGACTAGGGCACTGAGGCAGTGGGCTCACTAGGAGTCCAAGAGAAGACACAGCATACAGGGAGGTATGGGAGCGCATTGTTCAGAGTCCTTTTCATCCTCCTCCCCGCCCCCGCCCCCCGCCCAGGTGTTATACTAGGAGGAATGTTAAGCAGCACAGTTCCCTGGCCTCCAATGGTACCTGATTATTTAAAAGCTTTTTAGTGACTTTCTTGTAGCGTTTGGGTATTCAATCATTGTAGCAGGGTGCACCTGCACCGTCACACATGCAATCCAAGCTTCTATAAAAGTCCTGTGATGAACTGAGAACTGATTTCATGTTTAGTTTTTTAAACTCTCTAAACTCCAAGTATGGGGCAAGAAAGTAGGAAGAAGATGGTCAAAAGCAAACCATCCAGAATGAGTGTCTGCGCTCCTGATGAATGCCTCCCTCCCCGCAGTAACCCCGAGTACAAGGACACGCCTATGGACATCGCACAGCTGCCCCATCTGCCAGAGAAAACTTCGGAATCCTCAGAGACATCTGACTCTGAATCAGACTCTAAAGACACCTCAGGTATTACAGGTATTACTACTTCTCCATGTTCTGCAGTTACGGCTTACCTTTCCAAACACGAGGGCTGGGTCATGGCCCAAGGGCCACCATCAGAGCACAGAAACTGGTCATATTTGATGTACAGACATATGACACATCAAGTTATTACTGAGTCTCTCTCTCTCTACACACACACACACATCACCACATACCTATGTACACACCTATGTATATGTGTGTGTCTGTCCAAAAGGTATCCATCCATGTAATATGAAAAATAGAGGAGTTTATTGAAGAGGATACAAAATACAAGAAAAATTGTACAGAGGACAATGATGCCTCAGTCCCTTTAAAGTAGGCACTTTGGGACCTCACACAATTTTCCCAGTTGCCATCAGCTGCCCTGTCGTATTTTCCTGAATATATTTGAAGGCCTGAAATCTCTTCCCTTTCAAAGGTGATTTTAGTTTTAGGAAAAGTCTCAGGGCACCAAATCTGGGCTGTAGGGGGAGCTGAGTCATCTGGGTGATTTGATGTTTCACCAAAAACTCTGCATGAGACGTGATGCATGAGCGAGCACATTGTCCTGATGAGACTTCCAATCACCAGCTGCCCATAGCTGCAAACTTCTGAATCACCCCAATAGCTTCCATGGAGGACTGTTCAAGCTTAATGCAAAATTTGATGCAGATTCATTGCTCTACTCCTTCAGTCATTTTGAATGCAACAGCCACACAGTACACATGCTCACTCAATGGTGTCTACTGCCCCCACTGACTAGTACAGCAAAGTCATCATTGTCCTCACATGTGCATTCCAGTCCACTCTCCTCGGTTGCCAGGTTACATCAATGTCTCCCAAACCATTCACGTTATATTGATGATGGCTGGACTTTTTCCAGACAGACCTTCACACACATGTGTGCACACATGTTTTGTGTGTCTACATAATACATGTATGTATGTGGTAAAAATATATACATGCATTTATGTATATAAATATATACATATATGTATGCTGTGATACACACACACATAGATACAGGTATATGATAGTGTATAAATATATGTACACAAATATACTTCATGTCAGCCTCCCGCTGGCCACACAGAAGGGGCCTATGGCTACCTCCGGCCTCTCTGCCAGAAGCAAATAGCAGGACAGTGTGTGCTGCTCCAAGGCAGACTCTGACTCTGCACCCCACATATTCACATGCTCACCAAGCTGGAATTGAGCCTCTAGAGCGGGATATTTAATGCCATTGGTAAATGACTCAGAGTGCTGGACTGTTACCCATTTTCTGAATCTGCGCAGAACAAATCCATGCTTGCCATGTCTAATTATCAAGTGATTACATGATTTGTCCAAGGTTCTAGTCTGGCTGCCACCCAAAAGCATCACAGCAAAACCAGAAAACCATCATCATCCCTAAATCTTCTGAGGTTGTATTACTGGGAGAATCTATTCTCTTTAAAATGTATTGTATGGCCAGGGGTCCAGCTGCCACTTGCCCTCCTGAGGGCACCTGCTCTCCAGGTTTGTAAACACACATCCCGTGACTCCAGACACAGCCTTGACGCAGTGAAGGAGGTGAGGAGCACTCACGGAGGATCTGGCTGTTTTCCTCTCTCCTCCACTGTGTTCATTTGAAAGTTCTGTACTGGGAAAGACGTTCTAGAAGAGACAACCTCTACTCATTTATGCAGTGAACAAAAAGGACAAAAATCCCCTGCCCCACGGAGCTTATATTCTGCAATAGTCAGAAGAGATAGAAGTTAATAAAAATTAAGTAAAACATACAGTGAATCAGATGGTGGTAAATGCTATTGAGAAAAATAACTTCAGGAACAGAGTGTGATTTTCAATGACCAAATAGTCGCCAGTGGAAAGTGCAAGCCCTCTTTAGAAAAACACCTTGCGCACCATCATTTTGTGTGTCACTCACACCTTATCCCAGGTTATTAACTGAGAGCCCCGAAGTAGTTTTGCAGGACCTCTCAAATGTTAATGTGCCTGAATCACCTGGGGATCTTACTCAAGTACAAATCTGATTCTGTAGGTCTGGGTGGAGGCGCACGATCCCGCATTTGTAACAAGCGTCCTGTCATGCCAGTGATGCTGGTCCATGAACTGCACTTTCAGTCAAAGGCCAGCTAATCTAGGCCCTCAAGTGGAAAAGACCAGGTTTTAAGTAACCAAGGTGGCAGAGAAGCTCAGGAGGGGGCAAGACACCTCCCCCACGACCCCGCCAGCAGGTGAGAGATGGGCTTGCCCTGCTAATGTGGTGTCTCCTTTGTCTCCTCCCCCACCCCAACCCCGCCAACCCCGCCCCCCGCCCCCGCTTCCCTCACCGGCCCACGCAGAGGACAACGAGAACTCCAAGTCGGACGAGAAGGGGAACCAGTCTGAGAACAGCGAAGACCCAGAGCCTGACCGGAAAAAGTCGGGCAACACGTGCGACCAGGACATGAACTGCAATGACCAAGGCCACAGCTCCAGCAATCCTGACAGCCGCGACAGCGACGACAGCTTCGAGCACTCGGACTTTGAGAATCCCAAGGCGGGCGAGGACGGCTTCGGGGCCCTGGGCCCCATGCAGATCAAGGTGGAGCGCTACGTGGAGAGCGAGTCGGACTTGCGGCTGCAGAACTGCGAGTCGCTCACGTCGGACAGCGCCAAGGACTCGGACAGCGCGGGCGAGGCTGGCGCGCAGGCCCCCGGCAAGCACCAGAAGCGCAAAAAGAGGCGGAAACGGCAGAAGGGGGGCAGTGCCAGCCGAAGGCGCCTGTCCAGCGCCTCGAGCCCCGGCGGCCTGGACGCGGGCCTGGTGGAACCCCCGCGGCTGCTGTCCTCCCCCAACAGTGCCTCGGTGCTCAAGATCAAGACGGAGATCTCGGAACCCATCAACTTCGACAACGACAGCAGCATCTGGAACTACCCACCCAACCGGGAGATCTCCAGGAACGAGTCCCCCTACAGCATGACCAAGCCCCCCAACTCCGAGCACTTCCCATCCCCGCAGGGCGGCGGAGGCAGCGGGGGCCTGCACGTGGCCATCCCTGACTCGGTCCTCACCCCACCAGGCACCGACGGTGCAGCCGCCCGCAAGACTCAGTTCAGCGCCTCAGCCACGTCAGCTTTGGCTCCCGTCGCCTCCGACCCTCTGTCACCCCCGCTCTCGGCGTCCCCGCGGGACAAGCACCCCGGGGGCGGCAGCGGGGGTGGCGGGAGTGGTCCCAGCACATCCAACTCCTTGCTGTACACGGGGGACCTGGAGGCACTGCAGAGGTTGCAGGCGGGCAACGTAGTGCTCCCGCTGGTGCACAGGGTGACCGGGACCCTGGCGGCCACCAGCACGGCTGCTCAAAGGGTCTACACCACGGGCACCATCCGCTATGCGCCCGCCGAGGTGACCCTGGCCATGCAGGGCAACCTGCTGCCCAACGCGCACGCTGTTAACTTCGTGGACGTTAACAGCCCCGGCTTCGGCCTTGACCCCAAGACGCCCATGGAGATGCTCTACCACCACGTGCACCGGCTCAACATGTCGGGACCTTTCGGCAGCGCAGTGAGCGCGGCCAGCCTGACGCAAATGCCCGCGGGCAACGTGTTCACCACCGCCGAGGGACTCTTCTCCACGCTGCCCTTCCCCGTCTACAGCAACGGCATCCACGCGGCACAGACTCTGGAGCGCAAGGACGACTGAGGTGCGCGCCCAGTGTGGGCGTTGCGCTGGGAGGCATCGTCGGCGTTTTTCGTTTAGACCTTTAATTCTAGCACTTTGAATTTGAGCAGGTCAGCGTCTTCTCTCAACACGACATTCCCCATCCCATTCCCTCTTTCTTTAACTTGACTTATTCTTTCCTGTAAAGATATGTTTATTTTTGGCCTTCAGAGGATCAGATGACCAGTTGCCTGCCATTTTGTCTTCTTCTAAGATGTGTGTTGGGTTGTTTTGCTTTCCTTTGCATCTTTGTTAAGATGTCTTTAATGTGTATATGCCTCTGCCATAGAATACTCAGTCTTGTGGTCAAGAGATTTCTCAAGTGACAACCATTGGGTTTTCTTCATAAAGATCTTGATATGATCAAGATTGTTAGAGACAAGCATAAACAATGTGCCCTGTTTGACTAAGTCAAATGAATTGGGTGGCTTTTGTTTTTGTTCCTAATTCCTTTAAAAATAGGGGGGATAGTGTTTTAGAATTTTATGCAGAATTTAATTCTCTTTTTATGGTTAAGATTTTAAGATTTTCTTACTTGCACATAAAAATAATTTGGGTTCTTAAACTTAATTTCTGGCCTGTGACTAGAATGTTTAAAAAAAAAAAACAACAGTTGGACTAAATGTTAATTACTGAAACATTAACTTAATTTCTAAAACCATGGTGCTATCATTTATTAATCTGTAATGTCTTCATACAAAATGCAGCTCCTGGGCTGGGTTTTGGAAAAAGGAAAATGTCTTCTGTCCTGGTCTGAAGTCCATCGCTGCAGTCTCCTTGGTTAGTTAAGACAAAGCCCTCATTAACGTTTGCTGCAGAACTTAAAATTTTTTACCTCCCAACTAACAAACATAGCCTCACATTAAATTTAATGGGTCAGTAAAGCCCTTTTTAAAGGGGCTTTTGGAGAACTCAATCAAGCTGATTTGAGGAGCAGTTTAGGTACATACTGCCTTTTGTTGAGCTGGGGGTTTTTTTTTCCTTTTCTCAGTCTAACTGAGGCTAATTTTTGCAACTTCAATAACACTTCAGAATAAAAGAAGGAAACATATTTAACATGCTTTAATTTTGTTTGTTTCTTGCTAAAAAAAAAAGGAAGGTTGTATTTTGGGGGACTGATCTGATTTGATGGAATTTTTTTCCCTTTGGTTCTCTTTATTTCTAGGTTGGAACCAATACAGTTTAAAACTAAAGAATGGGTTAATAAGCTTCAAACAGATAACTGCAACTGAAAACTGCACATTAAGTACAAAAAAAAGAAAAAGAAAAAGAAAAAAAATCCTATTTTGTCTTTGTTGCCAGAAATCAGTGTAGTGTCAAACACTCCTAATGACTGTCAAGTATAAATTCTTCTTCCACTCCATTTTTGGCAGCTGTTTGTTAAGGCATCTAATAACAGATGTGAGAACTGTAATGTGTGCAATGTGTACGTGTCCTTGGCTGTCGTCCATTGCAGTTTCAATGTGTGTTTCTATATGCAGTATATACTAAGCTAATGTAGTTGTTTTGTCCTTTGTCTTCTCTGTGCTCTCTCTCTAGTCTGGAGTGGTCCAGTCCCATTCCTGCAGTCCTAGTGAATCAGTGATTCTTGGGGGTTAGTGATTTTTGTGTGGTGGCCTTCCTCTGTAATGTCACCCCTATGCTGCTTCTACTGTCTGTGAACCTTCCGTTTCACTTTTTAAAATTCCTGCTGTTGCTTTGCTGGTGTATATTCTCCCCATCACTCCTTTCTTTCCCTCTCCCTCACCTCTCCCCTCCCCCTTTCCTTCCTCCCTCTCCAAAATCTTTTTCATTCTCAGAGATAAAAAGACTCTTAACTAGCTCAAGGTTAATGGAGCCATTTTTCCCACATGGAATTCTGGGTATGACTCTTTCTTCTGGAGTGCACCTCAAAGCACTGAAGAATAATGCTCAGATATATTAAATAAATTGATGCCATATAGCCTCAGTTGTTAACATTCCCAGAGTCCCTTGTGCTCTACCTATAAGCAGTGGGTGCTTTTCTTTGGTTTCCTTCCAGGTTGGCTGATGGAGCAATATATCAAGCAATTACCAGTGAGACAGAAAACTATTTCAAAGGTCAACCAACATTGTTTAAAAACAGAAGGGGAGGGTATATGGAATATAGAATTGTCATATATATATTTGTTTATGCGTGCAATGCTACTATAGTAACTCGGCTGTCCTTTGAATATCACTGTGTTGAGTGGATTCCTCTAGGACCTTTAATTCCATGAATTGGGCCCAAACCACAGTGGAATAATGACAAAATGAAGTTAAATGCCACAGATTTTAATGGTGAGCTTAGTTGAAGGATTTAATAGTTTTAGAAGGTGAAGAAGGCTAATCGCAAAATTTAAAGATTAATTTTGGAAGCTCTACTCTAGCTATCGAACAATCAAAGGAATGCACCTATCAGCTATAAAGAACAGCTAGACAGCTGTTTTTTTCTTTTATAAATGTTTCTGTGTTGTGTCAAAATGACTTCTGGTGATTTAAACTAACAGATAATCACAGCTGCTGTCTAAATCCATAATGTTAAAATTACAAAATGAAAAAAAAAAAAAAACTTCATTACCTGTGAAGACTGTGTCTGTGTTTTTAACTATTTCTTGTACAAATATATGAAAACTTTTATGAGGAGACTGGTGCCAAGTAGCTGAATAATGGGGAAAGGGATATTCTGTTCGTAAAATTCTTAGCAGTGTTACCAACTCTACAACACACACACATATATATATTATATATATATAAAAATTAAAACGTTACAAAGCGACAGCTATGGTACATTTGTTTTGTGTGAAGCTAACCGGACCTAACTTCCTGAGTGCCTGGCTTATTTTGAAACATTTTTTTTTCATTGACCATTGATAATGCTGCAAATCAGAAATGTACATACTTCATTTACAACAGGGTTCTTTTTATACTTTTGTAGATTCTCATACATGTCACATACATGGTTGTCTTTATGTAACTTAATTTTTTCATCCGCAGGTGCCATTTTCATAATAAACTTCTCTTGGATTTGTTACTATCTGGCATCATTTCTTTTACATGTGACCATCCTAACTAATGAGCGCTGGTAGTATTTGTTTAAGCAGGTACCTTGGTCATTATTCTTGATTAAAAATAAAAAAGAAAAGAAAAAGTAAAAAAAGATGCATCCATATTTTTCACCAGTTTTGAGGGAAAAAATACATAGCTTGGGTACTGATGAGGCTGACAAGGCACAGATTAAGATGCTAATCCAAATACTACACCAAACTTGCAACCATCCTAAATTTTCAGCTCCCCCAACTCATTGTCATACTGAGCATTACTGTGCACATTATCAAAGCTGAACAATTAGCCTGCGACATTAACCACTGTGGGAAGTGTGCATTTTTTTTTATTAATGCACAGTAAGTGATGACAGTTTTCATACATTAATCATTTGAAATGCACTTGATATCTTCATTTATTACAAGCTATAATGTATAACCAACTATTCCATTGCTTATATCTTCTCTTTATGCTAAATATGTATTTTCTTTCTCCAGACAATCCGAGTAAGTCATGGTTGTGCTGTGCGATTGGCCAAGTTAGCATGCAGTCCATCACGTGTTAAGGCAGGTCAGCTGGCTAACTCAAAAAAAGAAAGAAAACTTCAGTGCTTTCTCAAAGTTAAGGATATAGATGGGTCACCTCTTAAGTCTGTGCTGTCTAGAAAATGAAGAGATATGAATGAGCTGAAAGAAAATGCAAATACCTTCATCCAAAAGCTACCAACTACAGTAAATCTTATTTCCTAGTTTAAGTGTTCAGTGACACTTGCCAATTCGAGGGTACTTTTTTTATTAAGGGAGGGTTGCTTCAGGCTGGTGGATATGAAAGTGTATTTATGGTAGTGGAGCCCTAGATTTCTCTTTATGGATCCTTGAAATAAGCATTTAAAAATTAGAAATAGGGAGAGGGTGATTGAGAACACAGAATTGGATTCTTCCAACTATGTCTCCAAAATTTATTCCCTTTTGCTCTTAAGAAGAATATCGTATAGCAAGATTTAAAAGTAAAATATATATATATTCATATATATATATGAAGCTAGAAACTCAATCCTGAACAGATGATGGGGAGTGTTGAAGCCAGGTTACCCAAAGCACACTGCTGTAGGCACTGATGGAGCGGGCTCCTAGAGGGGCCTCCAGACCTTTGCGTAGTGGAGACTCTACAAAGGCAGAGGGCCAGTTGTGAGAGTGCAGGATTAGGCTGATGCTCTGTTGGCTGAATGACAACATCGGTCAGCATAACACTTTACTACATCCCTGCAATCTCTGTGTGATGCCAATGGAGGTTGAGAAGGAAACCCAGACATGGTGGTGGGTGAATTGAAATCCATGGTAGAAATTGGTATTTGGAGCTTCTGCAGTAGCTGTGGTAGAAATTTTGGGTTCTTGGCCAAGTTCAAGCCTCCCTTAACAACATCAACAAGTTCCCCGTCCTTTATTTGCTCCCATCAATGCTAAAATATGTTACTAGTGAGATGAAGGACATCCCTCAGCCAGAGAGATGTTCTGGGCTCAGACCCATTGATAACCATGAAGCCCTGGCCACTGCTGTGGCCCGAGGCTGGCAGTCTGGCCAAGGCCCTGAGCCCCTCTAGAAGCCCAGTACCTCCTCCTTGCCGGGCCAGCAGTAAGTCAGTTTGTTCAGGCTCCAGTCTGTGGGGGATGGACAGAACAGGGATCACTGGCCAGCTCTCTGCTCCTTTTCTCCTTCCCAGTCAATACCTACATTTGTTCATTTGGGAAAGAAGAACGACAACAACAAAAAGGATAAAGTTGGAGGCAGGACAAGAGGTAAGATATGCACTCTGGAGTAGAAAGAAAGTGGTTTCAGACCTTGTGGACTATAATTCTTACCCATCTTTGCATACTCTGAAATGAAGCTTATTTATGTTGAGCTTATTTAAAACAATTTAAAATCAACTTGGCGTATGCATTGCATTAAAGGTAAGAGATAGTGCATATTATCAAGTTCAGAAGATAAGTCATTC